GGTCCGGCAGGAATTGTAGGTGGGGGGAGAGAATGTACAGCGCTCTCTTCCACCTTCAATACCACGACTGAGGTGTCCTTGAGCAAGGCACCGAACCCCCAACTGCTCCCCGGGCGCCGCAGCATAAATGGCTACCCAATGCTCCGGGTGTATTGGGTGTGTGTTCTCACGGTGTGTGTGTGTGTGTTCACTGCTGTGTGTGTGCACTAAGGATGGGTTAAATGCAGAGCACTAATTCCTAGTATGGGTCACCATACTTGGCCACATGTCACGTCACGTCACTTATTTGTGGTTGTGGATGATTTTATTTACATAACTCTGAATGTAAATAAATGAACTGGCATAGCTTCCAGTTCCACTGGGAATTAATGAATGAATGAATGAATTCATTCATTCATTCATTCATTCATTCATTATTTTTTTTAACATAGTTAGTCATTGTTTTAATTAGAAGATATTTAAATAATGTTTTATAAGTTTAGAAGTTATACAAACCATACTTCTTAAACAAAACAAAACAAACAAACTGCAAAAGGCACATATTCATATTTAAAACTAATTTCTCATTTAATTAGACAAACTTCTGCTTTAAGCCCCACCCACTCCCGGTCTTTCTGAATTCAAATACAAATCATTTTGAGATTGCTACAGATACAGCTTCTGGCTCTGCTTCACACCCCTGCATTGCATTCAAGGTACACATGTATACTTTACAACATTGCTATTTACATTTTACACATTGTAATCTTAATGTTTCAAAGGGCACTACAACTATCTAACTAATAAAACATCTGCTTTCATAGCACAGGCATTTGAAGGCAACTCTGTTGCCCCCTGTGTTTGTTAGTGCCACAGTAATGCAAGGATCATAAAATAAGTATGTGACTTGCATTGTGCTGGTAAAACATTTACATCTGCCTTGCTGTACTTGCAGTCATAAAGTTTTAGTTTTAAGTCACAGCTATTAAAAAAAAAAAAACAATTACGACAAAGCATCTAAAATCCAGTGCCAAAACGCTCAAATACAAAACAAATGGCATGCATTTGGAAGTAGTAATGAAGAAACATGAACCAGAAGGTTACAATGTCTTACCACATTACCTCACAATCACACTCAGGCCTCCAGGGAAGACAACACAAGCTACTGAAACACCCTCCCAACCCCCTGGAGTACCAGCAATAAAAATATTTCATTTATTTTATTATTTTTTTACTTTCACCTAAAAAGCACAGAACAACAACAACAGATACCACCCAAAATATGCTTACACAAAACCTCCAGGCGTATATGAATGTGACGACTAAACGCTTTTATGAAACAATGCCTGCCTGTGGTTTAATTTTCGCGAACCTTAAACCACAGAGAGCGGCTGCAATACAGAAATAACACTGGCATGGCTTTATCAGCTCTCCGGGGCTCTTTGTGAGCTCTTTCTCAGTTTGTCTTCCCTCGCAGAACGCCGCTGCTCTTTGGGGGCTGGGCGGGTCAGCAGATGTGAAGGGCTGAACACAAAGGCTTACCTATTAGATGTCTGTTTCATATGACAGTGGCTTGGTCCTTGACAAAGCTCACGAGATGAAGACTTGAGCGGGGCCCTCAGGGGCTCCAACTCATCTGTCGCTAGGGCCGTTGAACTCTGTGACAACGCTGCGCTTAAAGGGCAAGGGGAAAATTATCCTTTCATCACTCGCTACTAAACAGAGGGAGTTCGGGGAAAGGAAAACCCTGCGCTCTAGTATATTCCATTCTCGGCTCCCACCCCTTTTTATTCTGTCTGTTTATCCGTCTCTTTCCAGCTGTAACAGTGTAACCCGGTCGGTGCACCACAGAAATGGCCATGAGTTTCTCTCTCTCTTTTTTTGTTTCTCTGTGAATTGTGTGACATTACAGGGGGTTCGTTTTCAAAAGACGGAACATGAGCAGAGATACCTCACCAACTGAAAACAGTGAGCAAAGTTCACATAGCTGAAGTACTCCGAAACCAACACTTTATTAACTCTGTCTGTTTTTAGCTTTTCTGTAGTAAAATAAATTGGAGTTGGTAATAGAATTCATAGTTATTCTCTTTTTTGTTTTTATGTCAAACTTACTGTCTTTTTTGTTTTTGATCTGATAACAAATTTTAACTTTTCTAGTTTGTCATCTATTAAAAATTGACAGTATTTAACAACTATTTTTTTTTGAAGAAGTAATTGGCTACATTGCAGGCCCAAACAAAAAAATGTATTTAAGTAATAAAGGGGCAATATCTTTATGAATATATTATTATCTAATGATTGGACTAGAATAGATAAACAGCATTGGACTAGAATAGATAAATATACACTAAATGCAATTAAACTGAGGGCAAAATGTAATTTCTGCAACGCTAGTAGAAATGCAAAATATTTATACTTATTTATTTTATTTTATTTTATTTTTTTAATCATTGCCATATTTATTTATTATTGCCATTGGTCAGACAGACTGATATTTCTGATATTTCTGCCCTTAACTCATTCCATTTGTTGAGCAATTGCTGCTGCATTAGGGTCTCTGCATAATAAGCTAGAAGTATTTTAACATTATTAATAATAATAATAACATCATGCCTACAAGTTTCATTATAAAATATTAAAGTATATATTTAGTTTATATTTAAGTAAAATATTAAAATGCTATATTGCTGTTTTTAATGTCACATTAATCAGCACACAGGTTTATAGCCAAGTGAGCCATAAAAAAAAGTAGTTTGTCAAAATGATATAATATTTTGAAAACATACATTATTATACAGATTATGGGTAGTCGAGGAGTAGAAAGAATTCCCAAGAACCGCCATTAACAAGATCATTTTGTCTATGACTAGGGTAATCTTTGTCCAGGAATATGCAAACTTCTCTTGTCTTTAGGGCCTTATTTGCCAAACCTTTGTGGTGTTTTTTTTATTATTTTAGTAATTTTTTCAAGAAATAATTACTTGTAGTTGCTAATGGAAATTTCGACTTCCGTTCAGTGTACCAGCTAGGGTATAATTGTGTAGGCCACAGCAACTGTCGTAACATCAATTTAAGTATCTTTGACAACAATGAGAGGATACAGAAACAGCTACAAATTCCTGAAGGTGAATCAGCATTGAACCGATATATCACAGACACCCCA